TTAAAGTGGACTCAATTTGCACTATTTCTGGCAATCTGCAAAAGCCCTGTGATTCCCAGATCCCTTTCGCATGTACTGTTGCCAAGCCAGTTGTCCCCCTTTCTATACCTGAGCCTTTGTTTCTTTTTTCTGCCCAAGAGTAGTACCTTACATTTCTCCCTGTTGAAATTCATATTGTTAGCTTTGGCCCAGCTTACTAATCCTTTAAGGTCATTTTGAATTTTCATCCTGTCCTCTGGGGGTTTAGCTATTCCTCCTAATTTGGTGTCATCTGCAAATTTGAGAAGCATGCCCCCTATTCCTTCATCCAAATCATTGATAAAGATGTTGAATAGCACTGGGCCCAGGACAGAACTCCACTGGACACCCCAATGGCCACTTCTCTCCAGGATGAAGAAGAGGAGCCATTGCTGAGGACCCTTTGGGTTTGGTCAGTCAAGCAATTACTAATCCACCTAACAGTTGTATTGTCTAGCCCACATTTGACTATCTTGTTTGCAAGAATATCATGAGGGACCTTGTCAAAAGCCTTACTGAAATCAAGATATGCTATGTCTACCACATTCCCTTCATCTAGCAAGCTGGTAATTTTATCAAAAAATGAGATCATATTAGTCTGGCATGTCTTCCATCTGAGTTTATTCTCCTTTGAACTTGAGATCCTGAAAAAGTGTGGGCCAGCCTCGTGTATCCTCCGACTGCTGTTCACAAAGTGCCCTCTCTTCATCCTCCCAACTTCTCGCCACAGCATCCTTCTGGTTTGCTGCCCGAATCCAATATAAATATTGCTGCAGCTGCAAAAAATCAAAATGAGTTCCCTTTTGGGAGCTGGGCTTTCATCCTATAATCCGCTGAGAATTTTTTACTCCTTTATGCTACCATGGTGACTGTTTCCAACTACCTGCTCCAATGGAAATGAGCCAGGCTCACCTGGGGACCTCTTGATGGTTCTAAAGCCCAGGAGGGATCTGCAGTGAGATTATAGGACAGGAGATGGAGGCCAATTGCTTGGTGTGATAATTCTAATGAATGCTAAATAATAGTTGTAATGTTCACCTTTTGTATGTCTTGAGCTGTATTGTTCTTTTTAAAATGGTAAGGCACCTTGAGTCCCAAGTTTGGGAGAAAAGATGGGATAACAACAACAAGAACAGCAGCAGCAATAGCATTTAGCAATGGCATTTACGTTTATGTTTCACTTCATAGTGAACTAAGCACTCTCTAAGCGGTTTGCAGTCAGTAAGCCAATTGCCCCCAACAAGCTGGATACTCATTTTACCGACCTACAAAAGGATGGAAGACTGAGTCAACCCTGGAGCCCCTGGCTGGGATTGAACTCACAGTCTTGTAGTTTGTGAGTGAGTGGCTGCAGTACAGGCGTTTAACCACTGTGCTACCGGGGCATGGATGCTCACAATAATTTATTTAATTTATTTTAAAATAACTGAATAATTGATATTATTAAATATAACCACATAGTAAAAAGGCATCCCTTATATAAAATGGCAAAATCAAGCTTTGCTTTTTGGAATGTATATATTAAAATATATCCAATCTATCCAAATATATCCAAGCTGTGGATGCTTGGGTCTGTGGATAAAAAAATCTGTGGATATGGAGGGCTGACTCTACTCTTAATTTGGGGCCTAAGCAGACTGCCAGAAATAGTGCACATTAAATTGAGGCACTGACCTGGCTCAGTGCTAGGGAGTCATGGGAATTGTATTTTTTTCTGAGACATTGAGCCTTCTCTGTCAGAGAGCTCTGGTGCCACCATAAATTACAGTTCCCATGATTCCCTAGCACTGAGCCAGGGCAGTGCCTCAATTTAATGTGCACTATTTTTGGCAGTCTGCTTAGGCCAGGGGTAGGCAACCTTTCCCCTTTAAGGGCAGAGGGACTTCAGCTCCCAGAATCCCAGGAGCTATTGGCCAACATGGGACTATTGGCCAACATGGCTGAGGCTTCTGGGAGCTGAAGTCCCTCGGCCCTTAAAGGGGAAAGGTTGCCTACCCCTGGCTTAGGCCTTTGGATGTTCTAAAGATTACACAGAAAGAAAGCATGCTGTAGTATGCTGATGGCACTCAGTTCTACCTCTCTTGTTATTGGAGATGGCTGGGGTGTGGAGATGCTGGAGTAGTGCCTGGATGCTGTAATGGACTGGCTGAAGATGAATAAACTGAAGCTACAACCTGATAAGATGGAGGCTCTGTGGGTTGGTGAGTCCAGGAATTAGGTAGGTTGCCTTTGGATGAGGTTGCATTCCCCTTGAAGGAGCAGGTGCATAGTCTGGAAGTACTCCTAGGAGTAGGCTTTCATGGCCAGCATCCATAGTTTTTTGTGGTTTTTTTGGGCTGTGTGGCCATGTTCTAGAAGAGTTTCTTTATGACATTTCGCCAGCATCTGTGGCTGGCATCTTCAGAGAATGCTGGAATGGAAGAGAGTGGGTCTATCTCACAGTATATAGAGACCTACTCTCTTCCATTCCAGCATTCTCTGAAGTTGCAAGCCCTATCTCACAGTATATAGAGACCTACTCTCTTCCATTCCAGCATTCTCTGAAGTTGCCAGCCCCAGATGCTGGCGAAACATCAGAAAGAAACTCTTCTAGAACATGGACACACAGCCCGAAAAAACCACAAAAAACTC